TATAGCTGAAATTATTACTGTTCTCTGGGTTCGCCCATATTATGCATAAGCAGAGTTGGTAAGGGCCAGTACATGGAGACTGAATCCCAACAAAACAGAGACCTTAAGGGTGAGTTAGTGAGATTTTATTTATTTTTTATTTTATTTCGAATTTATATACCGCACCTTCTCCCGAGGGACTCAGGGCGGTGTACAGCCAGATAAAAACATACAATACAAACATTAAAAACAATTAAAAGAATATATATTAATTTGGCCCCAGTTTAAAATGACAAACCAATTAAAAATATTTTAAAATATGTTAAGCCAGCCCGGTTTGCTGAAAAAAGAAAGTTTTAAGAGCACGGCGGAAGGCACCGAGGTCTTGGATTCTCTTTATCTCTGGGGGCAGCTGGTTCCATAGGGTAGGTGCCCCCACAGAGAAGGCCCTCCCCCTGCGGGTCACCAGCCTACATTGTTTGGCTGATGGCACCCCGAGGAGGCCCTCTCTGTGGGAGCGCACGGGTCGATGGGAGGTTGTTGGTAGCAGCAGGCTGTGGTAAGCAACACCTTGAAGCGCACTCGGAAGACCACTAGGAGCCAGTGCAGCTCACGCAGGAGCGGTGTTATGCGGGAGCGCCATGCAGCTCCCTTAATTACCCGCGTGGCCGCATTGTGGACCAGTTGGAGCCTCCGGGTGCACTTCAAAGGGAGCCCCATGTAGAGAGCTTTGCAGTAGTCAAGGCGAGAGGTGACGAGGGCATGAGTGACTGTGCACATGGAATCCCGATCAAGAAAGGGTCGCAGCTGGCGAATCAGGCGAACCTGACAAAAGGTCCCCCTGGTTACAGCCGTCAGATGTTCCTCCAAGGACAGCTATGTATCCAGGAGGACTCCCAGATTGCGCGCCCTCTCCGAGGGGGCCAAAGACTCGCCCCCAATAGTCAGCGATGGAGTCAGCTGACTATATCGGGATGCCGGGAACCACAGCCACTCAGTCTTGGAAGGGTTGAGCTTGAGATACTTTTGACTATGAGAATTGGGGGATCTGTCCTTTCTGAATACAGGTAGTCCTTGACTTAGGATCACAATTGAGCCCAATAGTTCTGTTAAACTGTTAGGTGAGACATTTGTTAAGTGAGTTTTGCCCCATTTTACGACTTTTCTTGCTACAGTTGTTAAGTGAATCACTGCAGTTGATAAGTTAGTTACCTGGTTGTTAAGTGAGTCTGGCGTCCTCATTGACTTTGCTTATCAGAAGATTGCAAAAGGGGATCACATGACCATGGGACACAGCAATGGTCATAAATACGAACCCAGTTGCCAAGCATCTGAATTTTGATCACATGGCCATGGGGATGCTTCAACGGTCATAAGTCACTTTTTTTAGTGCCGTTGTAACTTTGAACGGTCACTAAATGAATTGTTGGAAGTCGAGGACTACCTGTGCAGCTGCATGCCTTCAGAAAGAACAGAGTTTGAAACGGGTGAAATGCTCCCATTTCGGACCGGATCACCCGATCTGGTAGCGATGGTGGCGGGTGGTTCGGAGAACCGGTAGCAAAAATCCCTGCGCCCGCCCCCCCATGCCCAGCTGAGCCGCACGATCATCAGAGGCTTTTTTTTTTTTACTTTTAAAAGCATTTTTTCTACAACCTCTTCCGACAAAAAAAATGCTTCTAAAAGTAAAAAAAAAAGCCTCTGATGATCGCGCAGCTCAGCTGGGATCCTCAGAAGCTTTTCAAAGCATTTTTTTTTTCTGCAACCTCTTGGCCGAAGAGGTAGTAAAAAAAATGCTTTGAAAAATCTCTGACGATCCCAGCTGAGTTGCCTGATTGGCAGAGAGGCATTTTTTAAAAAGCCTTTCTGACGATCCCAGCTGAGTTGCCTGATTGCCAGAGGCTTTTCAAAGCATTAGAAAAAATGCTTTGAAAAGTTTTTTTTTTAAAGTTGGCCACGCCCACCCAGTTACATTCCCCCCCCAAGCCACACCCACAGAACCAGTATTAACACATTTTACATTTCACCCCTGGTTTGAAATCCTGGAGACATATTTGCTGTTTGAAGCTCAAATAACTTCTGTGGCTAGGGATGCCTAGCATCAGCTTTTGTGATCTATCAACTGCAATTTTCCTGAACAAGGATGTCATAGCTATGATGGTGAAGGCATTGCTAATACAGGTAGCTCTTGATTTAAACCAATCATTTAGCAACCATTCAGAGTTACAGTGACACTGAAAAAAGTGACTTATAATCAGAACTTGTATTTAAAATCGTAGCAGTAGCCCCTGAGTCACATGATCAAAATCTTGGCAACTGACATGATGGTTGCAGGGAACATGTGATTTCCATTTGCAACTTTCCCAACAGGCTTCCAACAAAGCCAATGGAGTAAGCTGGATTCACTTAATGACCACACGATTCATTTAACAACTGCAATGATTTGCTTAACAACCATGGCAAAAAAAAAGTCATAAAACTGGGCACAGTTTGCTTAACAACCGCCATGCTTAGTAATGAAAATTATAGTTCCAATTGTGGCCATAAATCAAGGACTACTTGTATAATGTCCTCCATGTAGGATTCCTCTTGTGTTTGGTGCAGACTGTAGTATTGCTAAACAAACAAACAAAAACAACCCTGTGCTGGCTGCCAATCAGCAAGCCAGCCAGATCAAAGGCTTTGTTGGAGAAATATATATTGCCTTAAGCAATTTGGGACCAGCATTAATCACATCATCAGTGCAGCTTCTCCTGCCTATGCCAAGAGCCACAGAATACGATCTTGCGGTTACCTGCAGGTGGGCCCTCCCTCCTCAATTTCATTCAGGAGTGCTCTTCCCATTGACTTTGTAAGGAACCCTTCTTAACACCTTTTAAGCGCCTTTTGACATACCTTCATCACCCACTCCCTGTCTGCACGTTTATAGCATGAATGTGTATATCTATGTACATATATCTATATTCTTTCTGTTTCTCACTTTTAAAACTGAAACCCTTTTAATCTTTTGTTTGCATTTGGAATTCTACTGTTGACTGTAAACTGTTTTAATATTTCTGGCAGAGGGAAGAAATAGACAAATATAATATAAGGAACTGCCTGGGTTGACTTGCACAACATAATAAGACTGAGATGTGATTGTCTGGTCTTTGGTTCAGTGTCCTGTGATGGGAGCCATGGGCTTCTGCAGGGGGCAGGTGACATTACACATGTCATGATATCACATATCTCAAAAATGGTATGAATTATTGCCTAAATTATATAATTCATACCATTTTAATATGGAAGGCATGACACTGTGATTGTCATTGTACCAGACAAGAATGAACACAACTCTAACTGGCAAAAGCTATCCCTGGTCCCAATGAAAGTGGTTTGCCAAGCCTGGCAATCGGGGATTAATTCTGACAATAAATGCTTGTTCTATTCTTAACTAACTTCCTACATCTCATTAGATTAATTAAGCAGAACTGGCTGTGTTAATACATTCAGTAATAAACCATGGCTGATTAACTGGCTCCTTCTGAATTGATTTCTAGTTGTTTTATAATATATCTCTGGCAGGATTACACAAAGGGAAAGATAAGATGACAATTATACACATGTTTCATTTAACCATAATATGATTTAGTTGGGTCTCACTCACCGTACTGACTACAGGCATCCATTGTGGGTTGTAAGGCATGATTTATGACCAAGAATTATGTGTATAAAATATACATCATATATTGGTGTATTCAATAAACCAGTTATAAATAAGCTTTGGTTTGGTATGAGCTGATAAACTCGGTATTATATCCTTAAAGCCATTAGTTCATAGCAGATATAGGACTTAAGTTGACCCTTTGATCATTGTTTCTCTTCTTCCTGTTAAGGAATGGAAACTGGAGAAAGAGGGAATAATACTGAGAGCTGCAGTCACATGTAAGCTTTTTTTGGGAGTCAGCAGTGCAACTAGATAATTTTAGATTCTGGACTTAATGACGTGTTTTCTCTCTCTCTCTTTCTCTCTCTCTCTCTCATTCTCTCTCTCTCTCTCTCTCTCTCTCTCTCTCACACACACACACACACACACACACACACACACACACACCTCACTTTATGTGGTAGTTTCATTTATTTTTATTTCTATAATAATTTTTATGCATACTTTTCGGTGTTAAAAAAAAATCCAAAGGTAAAGAAATACAGGTTGTGTCAAGGTTTTTGTGGGCTTTTGCCCAATAGAATGCTACTGGATTCTCTGTAATCACATGCTTTCAGCTCTCCTTGTTTCTATTTTGTTCTTTAAGCCTTGTTTAGGAACCTCCTGGTTGTTCCCTCTGCTAAACAGCGCCCTGAAGTTCTACCCACTCCTTCTCCCCAAACAGCACCACTTTCAGATTAAAACAAGACTCAGATTGTACTTCTGAGTCAGGCTAAATTGCTTTTTGTTTAAGAAAGCCCTGACCTCCAGTGCAACTATCTTTGATAGCACTGATCTCGGAAAATTGATAGATGTTTAATGTAATAAGAAATGCCCAGATCAGTTCCTGTGGGCCAAAGGACAGATCAGCTTTCAAATAACATGGCTTACCTGTGAACTGAGAGAAAGGAAAGATGCAACCTTGACACACCTGCCTTTGCTAAGAGGGGAATGAGATGAGATGAGAAAACTTTGTTGGCAGAAGCATGATCTGACAGTGTTGATCTCCAAATCAACCAAGCTGAAGATGCCCTGCTATGCTCTCCTATTTGCAAAGGCTGGGAAGCTGTCAATTCAATTTGCTGTCAAGTGTTACCTCATTTCGATAGTGAGCCCTGCAAGCACAAGAGAAACCTTTGAAGTACACAGAGATTGATCATGAAATAGAAATTGTAACATGGCAGCTCCGGCCCTGTTGCCTACTGCACAGGGAAGCTTCAAGCTTTGCTAGTCTAGAGAATGGTATTGTACTACGTCTCCCCTCTGTATAAAAACCTTTTTGGGGGGGAAGGAAAGGAGGGGGAAATTTGAATCACCATTTCATCTCTTCCTGCAGGTGGTATGGATCACATTTGATCAAATCAGGGAAAAGGATGAAAGAGGAGCTTCAAGGTAGGAACCACTGCTGTATTTCCCTCATTGTACAGAGTGAGGAGTGAAATGAATAAAATACACATTATAATGCTGCATGAAATTCTACTACAGAAACAAGACAAGGGGATATAGTACTTGGCTTTGAAGAGGATGTCCGTAAGGAAGTTGTGACCACATCATTAAAGCCCCGCCCATTTTACATGCATCACATATGCAACAAACATAAAAAGGAACTACAATTGTGTGATCATGGCCAGCATTTTGATTTTTTTGACCTGCCCCTCCCCTCTGGTGAACATCCCTGTGTGCTCCTACCAGAGGCCAAAACAAAAATGAGACCCCAAAACCCCAAACATTTTTTTATGTATTCAGAATGTGGAATATTAAATCCAATGGATATGATTACTCTATTTACTTTCCACTGAGGCACTCAAAATTGGCTAAGATGGGCAGCCATATATATATTCGCTAAATACACAAATGAGTGTAATAATTTCCAATACAGTATTATAATTACTTTTTTTTAGTAGAGCTGTGGAGGCTGAATCCAAGATTTCAGAGAATCTTGTTTGTATCCCTCACTTCTGGCACTTCAGAGGCAAAGAAACTGGCCTTTCCCAGTCTAGTGCTATCAAGCTGATATTTTTTCTTTACAGTATATTTAACTGAAAGCTAGTTACTTGCAACTTGTATCTCTTATTTTTAGTCCTGGTTTCTGTAACCATGGAAAATTGTTCATGATCATCTTCCCTTTATGCATCTGACCACAGTTTTAATGGCTCCCCTCAGTTTTTTCTTCAGACTAAACATCTCAAGTTCATCAGCCTATACTCACAATGCGTGTCCACTCCTGCTTCATCTTTGTTGCACTTTTTATTGTTTCCAGGAATGGGGCACTCAAAATCACGCTGAGGTGTTGCCTCAGCAAGGCTGAGTAGAGATAAATGAGAACTTCATGTATCTTGGCATTGTGCTTCTTCTGACGATCTCCAGAACTTTGTTCCTGTATCTAGCACCTCCCTACTTTTCTGCTTCTGATGTTGCATTGGATAAAAGCTTTTGGCAAAGCTTCTGTAGCATGGATAATAATGGAAACAGTTTCATTGTATGTGCAAGTGAATTTGGGAGGGGAGTTTGCTAAATTGCTGAAATGCATTGCCAAAAATCAGATCCATCACTCTAGGAAATAAACAAAAACTTGAAGTTTGGACCCATCTTCATTATTTAAAATGAAGTTTCTTCTTTAGCAAATTTGAAACCCATATAGAGGCTGAAGAGGGCTGGGATGATTAAAAGGAGGAGAATGAGAAATCTCAAGTAAGAAAAACAAAACAATCTGAATATATCTATGTTCAAATCCCTGAGCTACACTACACTATAATATTTAAGCAAGTAACCAATTTACTAGTAGGCCTCCAAGTTGCACTCAGACTAAAAAAACAAATGAACAACCCTCTCTTCCACCCCTAAAAACTGAAGAGTAGCTTCCAAATACTTACTTGGTGGCCTGGTGATGCAGTGGCTAGAATGCAGTCCTGCAGGCTACTTCTGCAGACTGCTGGTTGCATGCAGTTTGGCAGTTCGATTCTCACCGACTCAAGGTTGACTCAGCCTTTCATCCTTCCAAGGTCGGTAAAATGAGGACCCAGATTGTTGGGGGCAATATGCTGACTCTGTAAATCTCTTAGAGAGGACTGTAAAGCCCTGTGAATATAAGTCTAAGTGATATTCCTATTTCCCAGCAACAATAAATCGAACCATACTCCGTGACTTCTAGTTTTGATAGAACTGCAACTATATATATATTTTTCTTTTCACTGTTTCTTCATTCAACATGTCTACACTCTACAGTGCCAATTTGATTGTACAGATCAGGGGCATTTGTGAAGAGGAACAACAGCATCAAAATGGGTGCTACTAGTAATCAGTCCTGTTCCTTTTTAATAAGTTGTTTGACCATTGCACGGATATAAAAAGAAGCAGGGCTTTCATCATCCTAAGGCCATGATGGCGAACTATAGCACCTGTGCCACAGGTGGAACACAGCGCCCTCTCTGTGGGTATGCCCCAGTTCAGCTGTGCCATGCATGCACGCGTGCCTCCCGCCAGCCAGCTGGTCATTGGGTCTCTGCTGCACATGTGCAGAGCATGTGCGAGGGTGCACATGCACAGGGGTGGGCATGTGCAGGGGCGCACATGCATGGGATGGAGTGCATGCGGGAGTGCACATGCATCGGCAAGGGCAGGGTGCATGCATGGGGAAGAGAACCATCCCAGACTGGGGCTTTGTAAAAAGTCAGAACCAGGGGTGAAATGCTCCCGGTTCGGACCGGATCGGCCGATCCAGTAGTGATGGTGGCAGGTGGTTCGGAGAACCGGTAGCAAAAATCCCTCCCCCCGCCCATGCCCACCCAATCGCCCAGCTGCCCGCTTGCCGCTTCTTTTAAAAAATGCTTTTAAAAGGTAAAAAAAGGCTCTGACTATCCCAGCTGAGCTGCCTGATCTTCAGAGCCTTTTTTTTTACTTTTAAAAGCATTTTTTTTACCGAATAGGTTGTAAAAAAATACTTTTAAAAGTAAAAAAATAAGATCGCACGCAGGCGCAGCCAGCGAACCGGTAGTAAACCGGTTCAGATTTCCCTGCTGGTCAGAACCAAAACAGAAAAATATGCCCTCAGTTATTCATCTGGTTGTTCTCCACCCTTCCAAACAAGGCATTTTGTTTTATTTATTTTCCTGTCTCCCCCGTCCCTCCTGTATTTTACCTCTGATCAAATTCAGGGCAGAGATGTAATATCACAAAGTGGCTCAGTCCTTGGAAAACTTCAGCACTTGGGGTGTTTGTGCAAGAAGAAATGAAATGGTGACAAAATATTTCACAGGCAACCAGCCAAATATAAACAGCATGTCCATTGTTTTTACTGAATCATTCCAGTTATTGACCCCAATCTAGAAGCGATCTTCCCCAGTGGCACTTCTCCAATGTGGCCAAACTGTCTTTCACATTCCAAAATTGTCTTTTGCAGACACCAAAAATCAGCCTTGTTAAAAGCTGATCTTTCCGCTTCTGCAGTCAGGCAACTATGCTGAGTGCCACATTTCACTTTTGCAACTAGCAATCATTAACGCCTAGCTGCTGTGAATGACTGGACGCGATAACCTCTTAATACTCTCTGCAGTTATGTCTTTGCAAACCCTGACAAGTAAAAACCGAAAAGGGGCTTTTACAAATATTGGTATAAATGTGGGGTGTAAAAATTGTCTCGCCAATTAGGGAGGAAGAATTTATATAAGATCTGCCAGTCTCAGTCCTCCAAGTTTCTAAAGGATTTTATCTGGTTCTTGGGTAGCCAAATCTTTCTTGCACTGATTATGTTATACAGGAGCCTGGTGGAGCAGTGGACTAAAGCGCTGTTAAATAGCACTTATCTGCCAGCTGCCTGCAATTACTGCAAGTTCGAATCTCACCAGGCTCAAGGTTGACTCAGCCTTCCATCCTTCTGAGGTAAGTAAAATGAGGACCTGGATTGTGGGGGCAATAAGCTGACTTTGTATAAAAAAAACCACCACTTGTGGGGGCGGGGCAAAAGCCCTACTAAGCAGGTATATACAAAAGTATGAAGGCTATTGCTTAACACATTGTAAGCCGCCCTGAGTCTCCGGAGAAGGGCAGCATATAAATTGAACCAATAAATAAATAAATAAACAAACAAACAAACAAACAAACAAATGTTACCTTGTTTGGGGAATGAAATATCTGCAAGAAAACAACCAAGCTCACAGTGCCTGGAGGCTGTTAGGGGCTGGATGGGGAGCAACGGGTGGAAACTAAACCCTGGCAAGACCAAGTGGCTCTGGGTTTGGGGTTCATTGGCGCAGGGAGAATTGCCACCTTTGGTCTTGGATGGGGTGGCACTACCCCAAACAGACCCTGTGCGTAATCTGGGAGTTCTCCTGGACTCACGACTCCTGCTCGAAGAGCAGGTGGCAATCGTGGCCAGGAGGGCCTTTGCACAACTGCGGGTTGTGTACCAGTTATGTCCTTTCCTGGACCAACAATCCCTACTCACAGTCATTCATGCCCTAGTCACTTCCCATCTTGCTATTGCAACACACTCTACATGGGGCTACTCTTGAAGAGCATCCGGAAGCTCCAGTTGGTGCAAAATGCAGTGGCCCTCATGGTTTTGTGCAGACCCGGGTGTACACATGTATCACCTCTCCTGCGGGAATTTGCTTCCAAGTGCAAATCAAGGTGCTGGTTGTCACCTTTAAAGTCCTTCATGGCTTGGGACCAGGTTATCTGAGGGACCATCTCTTGCCGATCACATCTACCCGACCCATCAGAGCGGAGGAGGCAGGGAATCTTGCAGGTCCCATCCCCTAGGGAGATACCAGAAGAAGGGCCTTCTCCGTAGTGGCTCCCTCTCTCTTGAACACCATTCCGCCAGAGATTAGAATGGCCCCCACTCTAATACTTTTCTGGAAGGTAGTAAAGCAGGGGTGGGTTCCAAATTTTTTTACTACCGGTTCTGTGGGCGTGGCTTAGTTTGTGGGCGTGGCTTATGGGGGGTAATGTGACTGGGTAGGCATGGCCAACTTTTTTTTTTTTTTACTTTTAAAAGCATTTTTTCTACAACCTGAAGAGGTTGCAGAAAAAAATGCTTTTAGAAGCCTCTGACGATCAGACAAGTCAGATGGGATCGCCAGAGGCTTTTAAAGGCATTTTTTTTCCTACAACCTCTTCCGCTGAAGAGGTTGCAGAAAAAAATGCTTTTAGAAGCCTCTGAGATCCCAGCTGAGCCACGCAATCATCAGAGGCTTTTTTTTTAACTTTTAAAAGCATTTTTTCAGCTGAAGAGGTTGTAGAAAAAATGCTTTTAAAAGTAAAAAAAAAGCCTCTGATGAGGTGGGCGGGGCATTGAAGACTTGGTTCTGCCAGAGCTGGATGGAGTTCTTAAATGGCTCGTGTGATCTGCTGTGGCCAGGACGGGGTGTGTGTGATTTTATTATATCATATTATATTAATTTATTTGATTCTTTTTATTAGTTTTATTGTTTAAATGAGATTTTATATTCTGTAAGCCACCTTAAGTCGCCATGGGCAAATAGGCTGAAAATAAATAAATAAATAAATAAATAAATAAATAAATAAATAAATAAATAAATAAATGAATGAGCTGCTCAAAGAGCACCAAGACCAATCCCCCCCCCCAATCCAAATCTTTCTTCCATTTCCTCTTTCTTCTGCTTTGTTTGTAAGTTCTTCTTAGCAATGCATGGGGCTTTCTCAAGAGGCTTCTGCAATAAACAAACTGTTCCAATTTGGATTCATTGTACAAACATGCATCATGCTGAAAATAGAAGTATTGTTTGTCCGTTGATTATTTCACCATGTCATCAATATACAGTACTATTTCTGGAAGACATATCCCAACTGCCCTGGGAAACTTTAAGACCACCAGTCATAGTTCAATGCTGACTTTATGTTTGATCATTGATGAACTTCCACCAGCGGAAGCTAATAGGATTTGGCATCCCAAAACAACAGATGAGCTCCAGCTATCACTCCAGCAATTATGGCTCTCAAAATTCTTTTCACTTTGCATTAGGAATAAAGTTAAATTCCTTTCATTTGAATTTGGCTCTTGGAAATTTCATGGAGGGATCCAGGTCATTTTCTTAGCATGACACAAAAAATGGTTTAGCCCAGCCTTCTTAGTCTAATGCAAAACATCACTTCTTCCCGTTTTGGTTTTAACTTTTTGCACCAAACTCTCCATCATTTTCTCTTCTTTCCATTTTCAACAGCTACATAGAAAGTGTGGGAGTGACAACTGACTATCACTGATTGATAGCTCAATAATTATGTCAAATTTCACTTTGGCTTTGTTCTCAAAATCAGGCTCCTTTTGGTAATACATTAATAAACGTAATTGTGACCAGGATGTTTAATTAATATTACCAGTATCTTGAATTTCTGGGACTAAAGAGAATACTTTTTTCCCCCTCAGCATGGCTGGCACAATCTCTTTCTATACAATTGATGATCAAGGTCCAGTCATGGGGATTGACTTCCAGGCAGTTCCTGACAACCTTTAAGCTTGGCTTATACATTGTGGTAAGCTATGATCTACTTACTCTTGTTGGTGAATTAAGCTCTCTTTGGATGAATTCAAAGAAAACACAATGCCATAAACCCTAATGAACCCTAAACTGTGATGGTTGCATTCACATAACATAGTGTGTCAATCACGGCAACTTCAAGAGGTGTGAACTCCAACTCCTGGTAGTTTCCCAAGTTGGCTGAAGAATTCTGGGAGTTGTCCACACCTCTCAAAATTGCTTAGGTTGAGAAATACTGACATAAGATACCGCACCAAAGTCAAAGAGACCACATCATGTCTTAGCACAGTGTGATTCATAAATATTATTAAATGTAGGCTTCATACAACTCATAAACAAAACATGACTGGGATCATAGAAAGTCATAGTACAGCTGGAGGATCAGGATTCATGACTTAGTGGATTACACAAATATGACCAATAGTGGTTTAAATTATGATTGAATGAACCAGGGTTTAGTACGTTGATGGCGAACCTATGGCACGCATGCCAGAGGTGGCATGCAGAGCCCTCTCTGTAGGCACGCACGCCATCGCCAGCTACTCTTCCGGATTCCATCACGCATGTGCACAGCAGCCAATTGCTGTCTTCCAGGTTCCGGTGCGCACATACGTGCCAGCCAGCTGGTCTTCGCGTGAAGACCAGTTGGCCAGTGCGTATGTGCGTATGTGCATGCTGGAACCTGAAAGACAGCAGCTGGCCAGTGCGTATGCACACCGGACCAGCTGGCTGGCATACATGCATACGACAGAATCTAGAAGTGCGCCATACGCATGCTCACCAGCCAGCTGCTTTCTTCTGGGTTCCGGCACTCTGCCGCGCATGCGCTGCCAAAAAGGTTAACCATCACTGGTTTAGTATGTCACATGAATGCAACAGAAAGTGTAATGTTGTGGACTGGCTTTAGGGGGCTCTGGGTTCAATCTCCCATGATAGCTGACTGGGTGACTTTGGGCCAATTATTCTTTCTTCATTCAGGGATGTTGTGGAGTAGTCCTATTTCACAGGGATGTTGTGGAGAGCAATGGGAGGTGCAAGAACTATGTTGAACAAAAGGCAAGGCATGCATCTAATGAATAACAACAGCCTTGTCTCTTCATTTGGAAAGACAGACGGGACTAGTAAAATATACAGATCCCTGCAGGTTGTTCATGCTATTTGCAATTTAAAAAGGAAAACAACAACCAAGCACAGATTTTTGTGATAAACCCTGGCCTGGGGAAAGAAACTGTCAGACACTTCCCACTGAAACAGACAAGTTTTTCCAGTAAAAAAGCAGAAAAATGGGTAACGGGGAGGGGGGAAGAGCAAAAGAGAGCATTAAAAGAAGAAAATGAAGGAGGTGGAGAGGAGGGCCATATGTGTCATTGCTTACCTCAGAGCCCAAATTAGAAGCCGGGTAAAAATATAAAATCACAGCAGGAAATAATGTGTTTCTTAATATAGCAACCTCAAATGGGAGCAAGAATGAAAAGTGGGCGGCCTCTAAGGGTTGCTACTCAGTTCCACCCCTCCCTGGCAGGCTGATTAATATGTCTGCACTACGGGTGTTTATGTAACAAAGAGCCCCAGAGGCCAAGCCTGCATCTGAAGGATCCCTGCGGGGGTCTGTGCAAGTTTTGCCTTTCACCCCCTAGGGTATTAAATGGGAGGACACACATTCACAACTTCCTCTCTAGGAAGACAAGTCCCCTTGCAGCGAGATGCACCAAATTATTTTTCTCCTTGAAAGCTTGCCTTTCCCATTCTCCATTTTGGCTGCAAACTGCTGTCCTCCTATTTTGTCACACCTACAAAGAGCCTTCAGCTCTTAGAGCAATGTCAGAAGAATAGGACAGGACAGGACAGGACAGGACAGAATAGAATAGAAGGGACCTTGGAGGTCTTCTAGTCCAATCCCCTGCCTAGGCAGGAAACCCTACACCACTTCAGACAAATGGTTATCCAATCTCTTCTTAAAAACTTCCAGTATTGAAACATTTACAACTTCTGGAGGCAAGTTGTTCCACTGATTAATTGTTCTGACTGCCAGGAAATTTATCCTTAGTTCTAGGTTGTTTCTCTCCTTGATTACTTTCCACCCATTGCTTCTTGTCCTGCCCTCAGGTGCTTTGGAGAATAGCTTGACTCCTCTTCTTTGTGGCAGCCCCTGAGATATTGGAACACTGATATCACCCCTAAACTAGTCCTTCTTTTCATCAGACTAGACATACACTATTCCAGCAACTGTTCTTTATATGTTTTGGGTCAAAGAGGCCAAGTGCAAAGTCAAATTGTACTTTTATCGTCATGAAAGTAGTGTGATCTTTTTTTCAATGTTTTATTCAGTTCTTAAGGATTCTTATGCATGTGAGAATTCCTTTTGTCTCACAATATGTTCTTTAAACAAAGCCTAGAATGATTGGTAACCTGGAATGGAAGCTGTCGTGTTATATCTTGATTCACACAGCTTCCTCAAAAATAAATTATTGTGAATCAGCAAACGCTCCTTCATATACAGACAAGGGGCACAGACAGAAAGATTTCACAAATACTTGGTTCAAGTGAATTTCTTTACTTTCTCCTGTAAACCCTGCTTTGACAAAGTAGGAACTTTCATCTTTTAATTTCTTTGTAAGTTACTTTACTGTGTCTCCAAAAAAGATGGAATATGTTCTAAATAACCTTGAATCTGGGGGGAAAAAATTGCCTTTAAATTTTTGAACCATCTTGCCCACGTTAATATTCTTGTAAAATTCACCAATAATTTATATTATGTTTCTATCCAAATGCAACCCTATGTGGAAGGATTTCCTACCTAAGCTTCATATGGTTCAACCAATTAAACATGCAAGAAGTCAAAAAACAAAAATGAAAACATTAAATATCTGGGTCTGTTTAGGGGCCTGTGTGGTTTACAACTGTTTCTGTAGACACATTTCATTTGTTTATGAAAGTATATTCATAGGATTTCAAATATTTTTCAGAAATGGAGAAGAAGGGAGAAGATGGAGAAGGAGCATCTCATTCCAGCTGTAATTCTCTGACTTGCATATCTGGAGAAAACAAGCATGCTTTTTTGGCAATAACAGAGAGCATACATCCTCTCTGCCATCTGGAAGATGAGATTTTATTTCTCTACTCTTGTCATTGCCAGCACCATCATTAGATCTTTACAGGAAGAGAGACAGATGGAAAATGAAGAGATGGGGCTTAAGTAAACAGCATTGCCAGATAGATCTCTTCAATTCTATTCCGAGAACTCTGTGTCAAATAGTTCATATGCAGCCTGATCCTTGACAGATTACTCAGTGCTGCCTTCTTCCTCCCTGCCCTTTTGTTGCTCTAACTGGCTGGCATTCAGAGATGAGAGTGAGATCAGCTATCCTGACAAGAAGAACAGAGTTACTTTGAACTTCCTGAGTATTGGTTGCATTCCCCTTATTGCTGCATGTGATATAATCATAAAAACACTCTGTGAATGAGTTTTCCTTTTCCTTTCCTGTACCCTTTCCTTCTGCGTCAAGACTTTGTGAATTGTAAGCCTGAAGTAGGAGCGGTAAGAGCTTTCAGACTGGAGGGATTTAAATGATTTATATACATAAATCACCAAGGGAACGGGCAAGAAGCAGGAGCCATTGGTTTCTATAGTGTTTACAATATACTGCAGTATTCAGATAATGTTTTATAAGGCAGACAACTGCTTATTATAACTCACAGCTAATTCCAAATCTTTTTTTTTAGCTAATATCTTGCAAAATCACCCTATTTGTGCTGTTCTTAATCTATTTATCTATTGGCTTTTTGCAACTTTAAACTATTAAGACTTTGGTGGATCAGAAGTGTCAGTGTAGGAGACGGCATGGCATATTCTGCTAGTTTCAAATTAAATATTTATTTATTTATTTATTTTATTTATTACATTTCTATACTGCCCTTCTCCCGAAGGACTCAGGGCGGTGTACCGCCATGGTTTGCTGGTTTGATTTGCCTCTTACTTGCTTTGCTGTCCCTTTTATTCATATGTGTAATAAAAAGGTCTCAAGCTATTCAGCACCTGTTATCCAGATGAAGACAAAACTAATGTTTTTTTACTATGAGAGCCTATGGGCTGCGTCTTTCAAGGTGTTGCTTCTTTTAGCCTGGCAGCTCAAAAGCCAGGATAATCACTATAAAGAGGCAATTGAATGGCACAGATGATTGTGATGGTTGTGCAGTTAGCTCTGTATAACCTCCTGAAATAGCCTATGGCTAAATACCTAAAATAGCCTCAACCTGAAACAATTTACCATGGTCACAGTGATTCCTTTGAGGACAAACTCATTTCAAAAATAAAGTCTTCTGGAGATGAAGGAATTTATTAAAAAGAGGGGCCCTTATCAGGGGTGGAATTCAATTTTTTTTTACTACCGGTTCTGTGGGTGTGGCTTGGTGGGTGTGGTGTGGCTTGGTGGGCGTGGCAGGGGAAGGATACTGCAAAATCTCCATTCCCACCCTATTCCAGCAGAAGGATATTGCAAAATCTCCATTCCCACCCCACTCTGGGGCTAGCCAGAGGTGGTATTTGCCAGTTCTCCGAATTACACAAAGTTTCCACTACCGGTTCTCCAGAACCTGTCAGAACCTGCAAAATAGCACCCCTAGCCCTTATAAAATATGAGACTAGCAGAAGGGAAAAAATGAATTGCTGAGTACTGCATGCTAGATATGTCCACTACTGTAGACTGTCTTTTGCGTAGAGAAGATTAAAGTTGCCATCATCTCTTGATAGGGCTCTGCTCTGCCAATCTACAGGAAGAGAGAAAGGAAAGGAGATGCGGATCCATGCCAATGGGTTTGTGCTGCTCATGGACTCCAGCTGAGAATGAATAGCATCTGATTTCTCGCTACTCCTGCATTTTCTATCACAGCTGAAGCAGTTGCATCCTGCTTCCACAGCAATGACTCAGCCTTTGTGAGTCATGGGCTGTATCTCTGCCACAGAGGATTGTTCCCAATCTGGAAATGAGAATGCAGCAATCACATCTTGTCCTGGGAATTGCAGATGCTGAAAGTCCTAAACTAAAGAGAAGCAAGGGAACTGGAAGTGAACTCTGCTGTGACTCTTTTCCAGAAATTTACTAACAGAAATGCGAGGCTGCGTTCCAAACATGTTTATTTAAATAGGCTAAAATTAACTACTACGTTTTTTAAGATGGTGTGATGAAAATTTCTCAGGAAAGAGGGATATGATCCGGTCTGGTTCCATCTTTTATGGATAGGAATGGAAATGTGGTTGTGATGCCAAGAAAGCTTTTCTTCCTCCTACTTTCAGTAATAGCACTAACAGAAATACATCTACTCGAAATAGCAAAAAGGAAGCTGCACCTTCCTGTGTAAGTGCTTACTCAGATCAATTGAATTCATTGGGTAATACACACAGACTTACCTCCTCTTGAAGGATTTTGAATTAAATAAGTGTTGAGATACTTATGAACTGCTAATCAATGAGATAAACTTGAGTAAGTCAACTGATCTGAAATCAGTGCCAGTTAAAGGCAAAGGGAAAATGCACTTATTTAGATGAGCAGTTAGGTCTCACTGGGTTGGCACGTTGCATAAAGCGATGTCTTATCTGCCATAATTTGTTGAATAAACTACAACTGAAGGGGGCAGAAACTTTGTGTATGCAGACCTTACTGGTTTCATACAGGTAATCTATGCCCTGGGTCTACGACAACTTGCCATGGAACAAGAGTAGTGGAGAAATGTAAAATTTGCTACTACCGGTTCTGTGGGCGTGGCTTGGTGGGGGAGGGGTAATGTGACTGGGTGGGCATGGCCAACTTTTTTTTTTAACTTTTAAAAGCATTTTTTCTACAACCTCCTCGGCCGAAGAGGTTGCAGAAAAAAATTCTTTTAAAAGCCTCTGACGATCCCAGCTGAGCCACGCGATCATCAGAGGCTTTTTTTTTTACTTTTAAGAGCATTTTTTGGCTGAAGAGGTTGTAGAAAAAAATGCTTTTAAAAGTTAAAAAAAAAGCCTCTGATGATTGCGCTGTTCAGCTGGTCATGGGGGGCGGGGCTAGGGATTTTTGCTACCGGGAGCATTTCAGCCCTGAACAAGATTTACACTACTATCAAAGATAGTGGAATAGAATCATTAAAGAATGGATGCCAAAGGAGTGAAAAAATGAAATGTGAGTGACAAAAATTGAAATATTTTTTAAATTATTTTAAATATTTAAATTGAATTGTGCCATGGTGAGTTGGCCATGGTGAGTTATCCTGCAGCAAGTTGTCTCATTCTGCTCTGCCCTGTTGCCTTCCTTCCCCATGTTTGGCACATACAAATCTGTTGTCAGATTGTCTTCATCTTTGTCTTCCTAGGGAATGACAGAATTTCATCCATAAAGGCAGAGGGTGGATTTGGTGCAATGACAAAAACAGCAATTCAAATTATGACTGCTAAGAAATCCAGTCAATTGTTTGTGACAGCTTTGACAATGGTTTAAAAGATGTATTTTTGTTCTAAGCAACCATTAGATGTCCCAGATCTGCAGAGGCCTCCAAATGAGGTCAAAAACTTTTGTAATTTCTAAGCAAGATGACCAACCTCTTGGATATGGATTACGGGAATTGTAGTTCAATAGAAGTGGAGAAACACACTGGTACACCTCCCACCCACAACAGGCTATTCACATTTTTCAAGATCAAACACTCTGCAGTACTTAATTTTATAATATACTGTACAAAATATAGGCACAGTTGTGTTTGCCCATGAGAACTTAAGCACTCTGTGAAAATTATTTGGTTTCCACTCCAGCTGGTTAGAAGGACGTTTCCACTTATCTAGGGCCAATATGAAACCTATAGCACAGCGAGCTGAAAAATGGGGAAAAAATTATTTTGAACCATGTGATCTTCAAAATTGTCTTCTGTGTAATATTTCTGTTGCAGGCATAGTTTGGCCTATATTCAACATGCTTTTTTCCTATTTTACAAATTTTCCTTCTTACGTAGGCGGCTTATCCACCTGCCCGTAACAATGTTTTCTCATGTTTGTTTTGCATATTTTCTCACAAGTAACATCACCTAGGTCCATGGAGGCCTATGCCTGTATGTGGCCCATTCTAGGCAAATTCCTGGACACAAAACGAAAGGACGAATACAATCCTGCCAGCAAAAAGTTTCCACTTTTCTTGTAGCAGAATTTCCTCCAGGTGTCCTTATCAGTACTACCACAAGTATGTATGTTTGTTAACATTCTTTTTTTTCTTCCTTACTGAAAATCAGCTGTTCAGGGTAATTCTGAAAATCAGATGTGAAACTGATATATCAGTTAACATGCCTGTGCATTTCCTTGGCTGACCCTAGGACAAGAACAGAGGATATGGATTTCAGTTCTATGAAGAAGTGTTAATTTTATAGAGATAAACCTGAGAAATACACAGGATTTGTATTTCAAGAACAAATTTCCCTCTCCAAAGTTGATAAGCAGCAAATTTGACAAATAAAGTATTCAAGAAATAAATATTACACAAATAGATCCATTCAGTTTCTTATCAGACATCCATATACACCTGCCATTTCTTATTAAAAGCTACCCCATATTAATTCCCTTCCCCTTTAGCTCTGTTAGTTGATTTAATCTCTCATCTGACTCCATTTACTAAAATTAACTGAACTAAATTAAAATACAACTTTCTGATGTAACTTGGGTTATCCATCAACTTTGATACATTAGCAGAAGAGAAGAAGCCAATGGAAGCACAAAGGAGTAATGTTAATTCTTACCTTACTAAACCAAATATACTCCATCTCTCTACATTTCACATTTGCACTGCTAGCATCTATAGTCAATCGTCACATCTCAGCCATACATACAGATTACAAATCTTGGCATTTGACATTTGGTGCAGGAATTTTTTGTTACAGTTCTATATACAAAGCTGAACATACACCAACAGAAGTACCCTACAGGTTTAATGAGAAGACTGACATTGGCAGACCAAGAGTGGGTTCATACATCACACTAAGCCATAATTTTGATTTGCTTTAGTATGTTGTATGAATCCAGCTGTTGTGATTTGTAAACCATGGGTTAATGGGAGGTAAAAGCTTAAATTGGGTCTGCCTGGATCTGAGGGCTCTAAAGATTACTGACTATTCCTCTGCTGTTCAAATTAGAACGAGAGTTCTCGTCTCAGCTGCTGGGATGAGGAACAGGCAACCAAGGATGGGAAGATAAAAACTCTTGTTTTTCAACATGTGGTATGGATGGTATTTTATGGATTGAAAGATGGAATATTAAACCACCTATTTGATTTCAGCGGAAGAGTTCCTCTGATGATTAAAAAAAATGCTCTAACAACTGTTGTACCATATCTGCTAATTTGCCAGAAAATGTTAATGAACAAAGGCACCGGAATCACATAGGTTCCCCCCCCAAAAAAAACATTTCCTCTTTTTCAGCTGCAGAGTTTCAACATCCCAGTTTCCTGTTTTCCATTTCGTTCCCAGGAGTTCCTGGAATCAGCTAATAGAGATTAATGAAATCCCACAATAACCAAGGGGCTTGCAAATTCTCCTTCCCACACCCATTTCTTCATTTGCATCATGTGAGCAAACAATAAAAGACTGCCTTGTTCCTTGATGTGAGTCACTGGTGTGACATCAGAGATGGATCTGATGGTTCAATATTCAACCAAATGTGAAATGTTTCTGTTTCCCTCTATGGCAGTGTTTCTCAACCTTGGAAGCTTGAAGATGGGTGGACTTCAACTCCCAGAATCCCCCACTGCTGGCTGGGGGATTCTGGGAGTTGAAGTCCATCCATCTTCAAGCTACCAAGGTTGAGAAACACTGCTTTATGGTCTTATTTACCTAGGTATGCCTTTGCTCCTCTCATTTGTCGTAAGAGGTCAGTATTTATCTTAAGGTGTATTTTTAAAAATCTGCTCGCTTTGCAGGATGGTTTTACTTGTTGAAAACTCTCTTTCCCTCCCTACTCGTTTCCCCTGGACACTCTGCAACACATCCTAATCACAACCCTGCTGTGAAACGGCCTGCCTTTCTTGATGACAGCAACGGCAGTATGCCCTTAATTTGTTCCCATCTGTTACACACTGACATTTCAGCACCAACATCAACAGCAGCCAACATTTTGTTGCCTCAGCTAAAAATAGCAGCCCTCTCCTTCCAACTATTCACCACGAATGATTACTTATTAAATAATTACTTATTAAATGATACCTAATCTGGGCCAGTAACTAGGCGGGAGAGGACCTGAAGCGTTACAAAATACCTAGACCTATTCTGATAAGCTTTAAGATAATAACCTTCAGAGAGAGAGAGGAAAAAAAGATGTAACTAACGTAGGGCAGAGAAATCTCCCAGTTCTTACTCAACTTGATGGAAGATTTGATTTAAAATTACTTCAGAGTAGAAAAGAATTTCAGAGGAGTTCTCACTGGTGGAGTGGGAGTTCTGGTATTTATTTCATTATCAGGTGGAGAAGAAATGTTTGGACTGACTTTTCTTTTGCTGTACAATCAGGTCTTCAGACTCCCTGGCTTCTCACTCTTTAATTCACCCCAACATCTTTTCTCACTCCGCCTTCTCAGAAGCTCTATTTCCCGTTAAGGGGCAGCCCTGCTCTTGGAAAATTTTAGAGATTTTTTTCCTTTCCCTGGAAATGGGGATTACTCAAGTTCACTGCCCAAAAACGAGATGGTAATTCTCAAAAGGCTAGTGGTGCCCAGGCTCAAATCACACTTCAACTTTAACAAGTATCAAGCAATATGGGTTGTATTAGCAAATCGAATCCCTAGTACAAGTCTCCTGCGTTGAGCAGGGGGTTGGACTAGTTGACCTCCAAGGTCCCTTCAAACTCTGTTACTGTTACAAATTATGATAACCCATGGTTATGTGTGGCATATCTAGACATTTAATTAATTAATTAATTAAGTTATTTAATTTAATTATTTAATTTAATTAATTAACCCATGGTTAATTTATGGCAAATCTAGGCAGCATTCTAAAACGCAGACACGTCACCCTGCCAACAAAAGTGTATATAGTCAAGGCTATAATTTCCCCAGTTGCAATGTATGGCTATAAAAGTTGGACCATAAGAAAGTCTGAGTGCCAAAGAATTGAGGCCTTTGAACTATGGTGCTGGAGAAGACTCCTGCGAGTCCTTGGACTGCAAGGCGATCAAACCTGTTAGTCCTAGAGGAGATCAACCCTGACTGCTCTTTAGAAGGCCAGATCCTGAAGATGAAACTCAAATACTTTGGCCACCTAATGAGAAGGAAGGACTCACTGGAGAAGAGCCTAATGCTGGGAATGATTAAGGGCAAAAGAAGAACGGGACGACAGAGAACGAGGTGGCTGGATGGAGTCACTGAAGCAGTAGGTGTGAGCTTACATGGACTCCAGAGGATGGTAGAGAACAGGAAGGCCTGGAGGAATGTTGTCCATGGGGTCGCGATGGGTCGGACACGACTTCACAGCTAACAACAACAAATGGTTAATTTAAGTTTGCTTTATCACATTAATGTAAATTATTCATTGATTTCCTTTTTCACATGGCATACTGAACCATAAATGAATGGACAAATAAAAAAAATCACTTAAATATGGGTGTTGTAAAATATACCACAC